ATCAGACATGCCTCCAGGGGGTCCTCAATTGTCAACATCTCATCATCAGTTTCTACAATTACATCCACAGCATCAATAAGAGAGCAATTAGCGAATTCACTTGGTCGCCTCATAGATTTCTGCACATTAAATGTTATCTCGTCGTCGTTCAATCTCATCTTGAGCTCCCCAGTTCACAATCAATGAGAGCTCTCCCAGTGGCCAAGAACAGCCTTCCCAAAATTATGGGAATCGCTTCATCTACTTTGTAGTCTAAGATCACAAAATCTGCAGGGAACACGAATTTCCCTACCTGAATCAACACATCATCCAGGATACTAGAGGGTCTTTTTACAGTCATGTCAGCTAGATGCAACAACATAGAGGTGGGCCTAGCTCTTCCAATCCCCAGCCTCTTATAAATCGTTAGGGGCATAAGATTTATGCTGGCCCCTAGATCACAAAGTGCCTTAGTGAAAGCAAAATTACCAATAGTGTAGGGAATTGTAAAGCTCCCTGGGTCAGATAGCTTCTCCGCAATTGGTCTAGTCACCACTGCACTGGAGGTCCGAGTAAGAGTCACCGTGGCCAAGCCTTGGAAATCAAATTTTCGGGACATCAAGTCCTTCATCATTTTTGCATACCCAGGCATCTCTTTCAAAGCATCTATCAATGGAATATTTACCTGGATTTGTTTCAGCATTTCCAAGAATTTCTTGTACTGCTCCTCTTTATGGTACTTAGCCAGCCTCTGAGGGAATGGTGCAGGAGGTCTCTTCTTCCCAATGATTTGGGACTGCTCTTTGTCAACTACCACCTCAACCACTGGTTCCCGGGCTGTCTCAGCTTCTTTCTTAGTCTCAGTCTGAATGTTATGTTCTTCCTGGGCAGGCTGGACTATCACCTCTGTCAGTTTCATTGACTCATCCAGCTCAATGGGCACTGGTATGAGTGTCTCAGCCTGTCTGGTTTCTCGAGCCCTCTCTTGCTCTACATCCAAATCTCTGCCATTGCGTAGACTCACTGCCATCAGCTGCTTCGGGCCTTGATCTTTTGGATTTATCTGGGTGTCTGCAGGTAATGTCCCATGAGGACGATTGTTCAGAGACATCGAAATTTGGCTCATCCGCACTTCAATATTCTTGATAGCTGAATCATGTGCATCTACTCTCTCACTAATTTTTGCATTAGACCCAATAACCTGCTGCATCATTGCCTCAAGTCTAGCAAACCCATCTTCCTGCCGTCCACCATGCTGCTGCTGAGAAGGATGATACCCCTGCTGCTGATTCTGATTATTATATCCCTGTGGCCTTTGGTAAGGTACCATATTATTAGGGGGTCTCATACCTCCCATGTTTCCATTGTTGAACTGTGGTTGGACTGGCCTGTATGGCTGCTGCTGCTGACCCTAATTTTGACCACCCTGTCTCTGGCCTCCATAATTAGACACATAATTCATGTCTTCAGGGTAGTGATGATGATCATGTTCTACATTCCACTAGTTACCAATTGGCTGACTAATGCAAGATGCGCACAAGCCCCCATTGGTAGTATCTACTATGTGTACCTGCTGCTTCTGCCCTGACTCTTCCACCTTTTTGGTGAGTATACTCATCTGTGTCAATAAGGTGGCCATATTTTCAGCCATAGAGTTGTATGGATCTAGGGGCACTGAGCGAACCACTGGGGTGATAGGTGCATTCATGGTTATCCATCCCGAATTCTGTGCCATCTTGTCAAGCAGACTCTGGCCATCTCTCCATGTTTTGCTCAAAAATGCTCCACTAGTTGAAGCATCAACTATGTTCTTTACACTATCTGACAACCCCATATAAAACCGCTGCCCCAACATCAGATCTGGAATACCATGGTGCGGACATATAACCAGCATCCCTTTGAAGCGTTCCCATGTTTCATGCAGTGTCTCCATTGGTCTCTGTTTAAAACTCAAAATTTCATCAATTTGTTGAGAAATCTTGTTGGGTGGGTTGAACTTGTTGTGGAATTACTTGACTAACTCCTCCCAAGTTGTTATGGAATTTATGGGGAGTGAGTTTAGCCAGGTCTGGGCAGCTCCTGTCACTGAGAATGGGAACAACAACAACTTGATTGCTTCCTGAGTTACGTTGGGCTGCCTTTGGGTTTTGCAGATTGACAGGAAATTCTTCAAGTGTTGCTGAGGATCTTCGACTTGTGACCCCGAAAATAGTCCCTTGTTCTGCAACAAGTGCAGCATGTTATTCGTGATTTGGAATGATTCAGCCTGTATCAGCGGGACTACAATCGCTGTGGCCAGATTTTCAGCTGTGGGTTGAGCCCAGTCATAGAGAGCAGCCTCTGGTACAAGAGGCGCCGATGGCGCTATAGGTGCAGGTGGATTGTTTTCGTGATCTCCCATGTTCGGTTCGGATTGTTCAATTGTTTGCTGCTGTTTGCTTTTCCGGTTGGCCCGGTTCAAGGCCTTAAAAACTTTTTCGGGATCTGATAGAACTTCGAGTACTTCACCAGTTCTCATTGAGTTTCTAGGCATGCACCTGTACAACCAAGTCAACAAACGTTAAAATTTCAATGTATAGATTGGGTATAGAGAAAACTGACTACACTAAGAATTTTTGTATTTCTTTCAATTGTAATTGATAACACCGTTAATTCCCCGGCAACGGTGCCAAAATTGATCACGCCCAACTATGCCTTATAAAAAGGACACGCGGACGTTGCAAATATAATCTGAGTATTTAGCCCAGAGTCGAACCCACAAGGAATTAACCTATCAATTACTTTCGTTGGACTTACCAAATTCTACAGAATCAACTTCCCAAACGTTGTAAATAACAATTGATGGTATTTCAACTAACTAAGAATGAAAGTAAATAAACAACTGAAAACTAACTATGATTAAGTTGTAAACAATTAAGAGAAGGTTCTAAGGTTATGATTTCCTCTATTGATGGAATCCCTTCCGGTTATGTTTCACATAGAATTGCCTAATCATCTCTATCAATCATGAGCACTATTATTACCGTAAATCTCTCCCTAGTAATCACGATAATTTACTAGACGCACTCTCCCGAGATACACTAGCTGGCTTTGTTTATTACAGCTCACTTTAGATTGCACCCAAGGCTTCGTTATCCCTAATCCCGCCTTTAAACCCTCGGTTATTGATCCCTCATATACTTTGGGAGTGGTGTTATTCAACAATTAACTAAATACGCACTCTCTCCCGAGTTATGCACACTAAATAGGCACAACTAATTGAGGATCCTGTCAATTAACTACAATAAGAACGTAGTTGAACAAATAGAGATTAAACCGGGCAAACTATATTAACATAACAAGAAGTTCAACCCTCAATAGGTTCCATCAAAACCCTAGACTAAATATTTAGCTACTCATACTAGTATTCACCATAACAATATTCAAATTCATCACAAATCGTAAAAACAAAAGGAATAAAGAAAGAACTCGATGTTGAATTATCCTCCTTGCCTCTTGCCTCTCCTTTTCTTCCACTAAGCTATGAAAAACTTGATAATCCCTCCTTGGGCGAGCTTGACCTTCTATAGGTTAAGTTAATTTACCTCCAGACTTCCAAGTTTACCCCTGAAAATTAATATTCCGGAACTGGGCTAGCACGGTCGCGCTAGTGGGCGCGCTTATTCCCTACCATTCTGCCTCGACCATTTGGGCTAGCGCGGTCGCGCTAGTGGCCGCGCTAGTCCAGGCCTTCATTTCATCTATTTTTTTTCTCGTCTTCTTGCGTACTCATCTCCTAGGGGTTTTTCTTGCTTCAATGTAGCTCCAATCACACCTTTAAGGCCTCATACAAGCTCCTCACTCCTGCAACGTGTGAAATTCACAATTAGAGCCTATTTTTCATCATTTAACTATATTATAACATTGAAACATAATCAAGCTGGGGCATAAACAACCGCCAAATTACATAAATCTAGCCTATTATCAATAGCTCAACTAAAAGGAGGATATATCAAAAGAGACAAAACAAAAACACATTTCACCAAAGCTCCTTTTCACGCATGATCTTCAACAAAATGGTGAGATAGATGTTCACCAAATCCGTTCAAGTGATAATCTGGCAGATTCATTCACTAAGGCATTGCCAGCATCAACATTTGAGAAGTTGAGGCATAAGATTGGAATGCATCGTCTTCGAGATATCAAATGAAGTTTTCATTAGGGAGAGTATAATACGCGCTGTACTCTTTTTTCCTTAACCAAGATTTTGTCCCAATTGGGTTTTCATGGTAAGGTTTTTAATGAGGCAGCACTCAATGCGTATTACAAGATGTGTATACTCTTTTTCCTTCACTGGGCGTTTTTTCACTAGGTTTTTCCTAGTAAGTTTTTAACGACGCACGCTATCCTTTAGATGAACATCCAAGGAGGAGTGTTATGAATATATTAAGTGGATGTCCATGAATACTCCATACATCCCTATTCCATGGACCATTTGCGTTCGTGTATTTAGTTAAGTCATCACTTAATATTTGTAACCTTTCATGTATCCTATAAATAGGGTATACTTTATCTTATGAATGACACACAAGAAACACACTTGAATAAGATAACTTCTACATTCTCCTCCTACATATATATCTTGTCTCCATTATTCTATTTTGCTCTCATTTCTTAATTAAATTTTAATATTGAGCAAGTAAAACTGTTAGTTTCGGCAAATGATGCAACACATCAAAAAGGAAAAGTCGAATAAATCCTACAGAATCCGAATCGATCCGATCAACGCCCAGCCCATACCCTTGGGTGCTTCTTGTATTCTTTCAATTGAGTTACTTCATGCTCAATCGTTTTGCTCAACGAAAGCTACCTTACTAGAGGCTGCCCTTCTATTTGTACTTCCATTGCTATTTCTGTATCCAAATTTTACTTAGTCGTAATAAAATGGCTAAATTTTAAATAATTATTAAATAGTGACTATTTGTGCACTTCTTCCTAACCAAACTGTTAGAAGCCCAATATTTTCTGAATAAACTAGCCCAGTAGCCCAAAAAGGCGAAGATCCGAGATTCTCATCACTATCGTTTTCTCCTCTGTTTTCCGAGTTTTCCAACTTCCAATGCGCGGCAAACCCTAATCCTCAGCTTTGGGTAAAACTCCATTTCTTCACGCTTATGAACTGCTAACATTCCCACTGCTAAATCTTTGCTAGCAAATAAATGAATTTTAATTTATTTTTTTATTGAATTCGAAGTGCTGTAATGTGTTTTTTTATTCAATACAAATTGCGTATTTTTTGAATTATATACTTATGGTTCTGTCTCTAGAAGCTCAAATTGGAACTTTTTTTCGTTCGGATCAGTAAATGCTGCGCTGTAACAGCATGTGTTTGCCATTTGATAATTGTCAACCCCTGAGGTTGTAATTTTTCAACCAGCAGAACAAGGTTAATGTACGGAATTACCTCTAAACTACTCTTTGACTGGATATGAAGCTTAAAATGTTAATTTGACTTGTATGCTTTATCAGTGATAGGACAATTTTTATTTATTAAAAATGTAGCTTCTTATGGGAAAATATCGAACTAAGTATAAAGTTTGAAGCTTGAAACTAGTGAAAGTTACTTATAATAATATTATTAGTTTGTTGGAAACGGAGAGTATTGAAACATAAGGAGTATTATATTTCTTAGGATATGAAAGCATATTGTGCAGAATGTATTTGTATATGTGTTAGTTCTTTCACAATCTTTAGTATTGTTAAAGAAGTGGCGATTTTGTTGTTTATTTGCTTGAAATGGACAAGATGACTGAAAGAGTGATGAATTTTATATTTTTCATCGAATAATTTTGATTCGGTTTTGCTTATGGTGTTTTCTGGAGGATTAATCCTATGTTTTTTTTTTTGTAGTTTTTGCGTCAGAAGATTCATCTGTCAATTTGACCTCTATAATGGGGCGCAGTGACTCTAGATCACCTGCCAGGGATCGTGGATCTACTCGTAAGAGGAGCCCTTCACGGAGGGAAAAGTCACCTGCTCGGAAAAAGAGTTCACATTCTGCTAGTTCAGCTGTAGCAGAGAAGCCTTCAAGCCGTAATAGGTCCCCGAGACGTCCAAGGTCAAGATCTCCTGTTCCTATTTCATCTGGAAGGGAGAGGCCTTCTAGTCGTGATAGGTCCCCAAAACGTAGAAAATCAATCTCCCCTGCATCTCACTCCCCAATCAGAGAGAAACCCTCAAGTCGCACAAAGTCTCCAAAACGAGCTAAGTCAAGGTCTCCTGATTCGAGTTTGTTACAGGTAGAGAAGTCTTCAGGCCGGGCCAGGTCCCCCAGACGTGCCAAGTTGCAGTCTCCTGAATCTCGCTCACCCTCACCACGAACAAAAAGGCTAAGGAGACCAGAACGAGAGACTGAAGAAAAATTGAGGGAGCGGGAGCCTGAGAAAAATCATGGTAGAGCTAGTGATAGGGATACACATAGGAAAAAGGGTTCCGACAGAATGGTATCTGAATCTCGCTCGCCCTCACCACGAACAAAAAGACTAAAGAGAGTAGAACGAGAGACTGAAGAAAAGCCGAGGGAGCGGGAGCCTGAGAAAAATCATGGTAGAGCTAGTGATAGGGCAACACATAGGGAGAAGGATTCTGACAGAACAGTGCCTGAATCCCGCTCACCCTCACCACGAACAAAAAGGCTAAGGAGAGCAGAACGAGAGACCAAAGAAAAGTCAACGGAGCGGGAGCCTGAGAAAAATCATGGTAGATCTAGTGAAAGGGCTACACACAGGGAAAGGGATTCTGACAGAATGGTGCAAAATGAAAGGAGAGAGAAAAGATCAGGAAAGGATGCACTGGATAATGGATCTTCTAAGTCAAGAAATGGTCGATCAGCTTCACCTTCAGAACGTCAGCATAGGAGTCGTCACAGATCAAGATCACCTGCAGCAGCGGGTAGTAGAGAACGCGATGAGGTGTCTGGTGATATTCGATCACATTAAGTGACCTTTAGCATTATTTGAAACAAATGATGTCATTTCTCCTGCCTATGACAAACCTTAAAACGTATATTGCTCCTTGACAAATTCGCCACTGAGTTTTCCTTTCCTTTTATTTATTTCCCGTTATGGACTGGGGAAGCAGGGTAATAATGAAAGATGATTTATTAAGAATGGTAACATTAATAATGAAAGATGTAAACCAAGAAGACATGGTTGATATCCGCTTATCTTCTTAAGGTTCTAGCGGAATGCTGACTCCAGAACAAAGATTTTTAGCTCCCCCCCCCCCCCCCCTCTCTTCCTTTCTCGAGTACGTAAATAAACAGTCATTTTGCTTACTTTTTGTGGTTGATTCTTATGGAAATCCTTGCATAAGATGCTCTTCTTACAATTTGCAGAACAGCTTTAGTAGTTTGACCTATTAATTTTATGGTCAGGCAAATTCATTCAAATTGGATGAGATGTGATAAAAACTGTAATTGCATCCCTGAACAAAATAGCAAAGAAAATCTGTAGATTTGAATTGCAATAAAACACCATCTCTAATTTCTTACAACTTTATCGAGGTGTACACAGTAAAAATCTCCTATACAACTTCAGGAGAGATTTATCATATAATTGCTGCATCCATAATCGAATAATTTGCACCTTGCTTTAGTTTTAAAGTTGTTGTTTTTTGTTTACTTCTGTCAGGACTTTTGCTTTTCCATGCAGTTTTCTATGCTGATATCAGTTGCTGGTTAACTGAATGCTATAATTCACAGCTCATATTGGGTGCTTATGTTTTACAGGTGACAAACTCAAGGAGAGGTGAACACAGGTGAGTTGCTGAATTTGAACGTTCTGGAGTAAATTGCTATCATTCTCATGCTTGTTTGAGCAATATGGTTTAGACTTCCTCCCTTCTGTCCCTTTTATGAATAGATTAAATTGTGCTTGGACATCAAGGAGTTAGCTTGGCTACAATTACATTTGTTCTAATAGAAAAAAGGTTAATTTAATTGTTGCATGTCTACAAGGTTTGTCTGGAGGAGAAAGCATCACAATTACATCTTAGATAAATTTGCATTCTCTAATGAATTTAACTTTTGAATCCTGGTGAATCGTGCATATATTAGCATCATGTCTACAGATATTCCAAACATACTGGAATGTTACATTTTTTGATAAGGCAAACATTTTATTAGCAATTGGGAGATACCCAGTAGACAAGCCATATACCAAAAGAAGAGAACGTACACCAAAATATGGTTCTCAACAAAAGAGATCCAATCCTCTATACAAATATGGATCTCACGAGTACACCAAAAGAAACAATAAACAGAAGGCTATTTTATAATTCTACAAAATCTTGTTCCACCCCTTCAAATGCCCTCCTATTTCTCTCATTCCAAATAACCCAGGTGATTGCTAATTGGGCCACACATCATGCCCTTGGACTTATCCTCCCCCTCCTGTGAGCTTAGCTATGCAACACCTCCTTTACTATTCTTGGCATCACCCATTGCGTCCCAAACAAATTAAAGACCACCCTCTACAACTGGTTAGCCACCTGACAATGCAACGAGGAATGTTACGTTGTAGAAAGCTTAACACGAGTCCTAACGGAAAGGAGTTTAAATATATGTACTAGGCCGTTTAACAATGGAAATTTGGGCAGTAAATCTCAGGGTCCTATGTTTTCCTGTTGTACTGCTGATGCACAGTAGTAACTTGTTATTATGTAAACATATATTATGCACTAATCTCTAAGCTCAGTACTCATTACATTTTCCTTGAAATTGATTCTCATTACTTTTTGATTTATTACTTTACTCCATGGAAGTATATGGATATTGATGCTAACATTTGCTTAAAATACCGTGTTTAGTGGAACAACATAGTCATTGTGTTGTATGGATGCTGTTGCTTATTGCTGAATTTTAATCTCTCTTTTAGCTGGTGCAAAACTTTCTAATGCGTAAATATTTGATTTTTCTCTCCTGATGTGCTTGCATATAGACTTGAATTTTTATGAAAAGTATATAGGCTTGAATTACTAATAAGTATTCCTTTGCTTGGGCAGGAATGGTGATGATGACTCCTTATCTAAAATGCAGGCGGCCGAGGAGGCTTTGGAGGCTAAAAATAAAGTATTATTTCTTTTCCAAATTACCTTGAGTTGCATTCCATTAATTTAGACCCGAGGTTTCCTTTATTTTTGTTTTAAATTACAGTAGAAAGTTTTTTCCTACTTGATGTTGGGGTGAGGATGATCTGTGTTTATTTTCACTTTAACTGATTGTTATTATGCAGATGTGTGGATCTTCGGTACCTTCTGATTAGTAGCTTTATTATTTGATAGTACTAACATAATTGTTTGGTACTATGATGTATAGGACAAGCCTTCGTTTGAGCTCTCTGGAAAGCTTGCAGCAGAAACTAATCGAGTAAGAGGTCAGTGACTCAAGTTGCTTAAGGATTACACTTGATGAAAGTTTACATTCTTAATACAGTCACTTCTTTTTGATAAGGAAATTTCAGTCACTTCTTTTGCAAGTTATATTGTCTTTCTCTCCCGAGAGTTAGTACACTTCAAACTTTCAGTGGATTTTTGGGTAATCTGCCCATCAAGCTTATTCTGTAATTTTATAAAAAAGTCTTCGAGTTCATCATTCAATTATTACTGCTGTTAAAACCACTCCACCTTAAATGGCTTCATGGCTTTGGCAGAACATGTTCTGGACTGAACGGAAATTATTTTGATCTGCTCATTTTTCGTAAGCAAAGTTCTTTTATGTTCCACAAAGTCATTATTTGCTGCCTGGAGTGGCTGGTCGTGTTCAAAACATGGTTTTCTTGGGCGTAAAAACCATATTGTTTTTGACAGAAAATCCATCCAGAATCTCAAGTATCTTATCTTTAAGTTTGAGCAGTGGTGTTGGCACTAAACTGCATAACCTTGATGTATACCTTGCTGCCAAGAAATTACTGAAACCCAAAGCTAGATTTTGAGGTATAGATGAAACTGGATCAAGTGAGCCTGTGAGGTTCTCGAGCTTGCGTTGCCCTAGGTCTTCTCAGCTTGTAACATTCTGAGCTTGATCGCCTCAGAAACTAATACAGTTTATTGATTGTCCATATTTCTGGTAACAAGATGTTAAGTGTTAACATATGCTGTGGATATCTTCGAACAGAAATGGTAGAGAAGGAAATGAATAACTTGTTGACTATAGGAGACTTTGCCCTATGTTCTAGCATGAGAGGACAAAGAGAGCATATCTTGGTCTTGCGTTTGTCAACTAACAAAGAGAATAAGCCTCTGTATTGTATCTGCCTTACCTCATTGTGTGGTGTTTCATGCCAGGTATAACGCTTCTGTTCAATGAGCCACCAGATGCTAGAAAACCCGACATAAGATGGCGCTTGTATGTTTTTAAGGGTGGTGAAGTCCTCAATGGTACATTTGCTGGATCCTTCTACTTATTCATTCTTTATGTTTCTTTTGAATTGCTCCATACGTGGCTCCATTTATTTTTTTGTTATTTTATTTTAGTGTGACTTGTAATACTCAAAATTTAACAAACGTATTCTATGTGCCTTCTTAAATTGCAGTGTCAATCTGCCAATAATTAGCATGTTGTATTCCTTTTTATTTATTTAATCACAGTGTTGAGACGACCTGCTTCTTGGGATGCATTATATGTATCATTTGCACCTACCAAGTACGCGTGCATTCCTTTTCTTTTGGGGGGATGCTGTGTACATATCATTCACATCTGCCTACTGATATGTCTTTATTCGTTGTAATGTGGTTAGTAGAAATTAACCCTCAGGGGTTGGCCTGGTGGCAATTGACTTGAGCCTTAGGGTTTGCTCCCTTTCAAGGTCTCAAGTTCGAAACCCACTGGGTGCAAACAATTTTTGAGGGCCATCGGACTGGGTAAAACCTGAATTAACCGTGGTGCACTTGCGGGAAACTCCTTGCCGAGGGCCTGTGCACCCCCGGGATTAGTCGGGGCTCTTAGAGACTCGGACACCCGGTGCAAATCAAAAAAAATGTGGTTAGTAGAAATCATAATCCGTGGATGGCATCCATTACACATGATTCTGCTATTTAAGTGGTAAACTTAGTTCAAGTTTAATGTCCTATCTGACTTTTGTTTTCCTTTAAAGATGAAATATGGCAGAACCACGTGAGATTCACAGCAGTTTAACGAAACTAAATGGTCCTCCTCTTAGCTTGTAAAATTCCATGAAACCTGTATTCGCTACGAGTCGCGTAAGATGGTATTCAATTTGAGAATAATTTGACTCAATTACTCTGATGTCTTATTTTGTAGGGTTTTCTTGTATTTTTCAGTTGATTCATGCATTTTATCCAATTCTGTAATATGTCTAAGGTCGTGACTTTCTATTATCTAACAATTTTCCATTCTTTGAGAAACAAGGGTAGAGAAAAAACTCAGAAAGTCCTTATTATAACACCATAAAAAGCTTTGCTAAACTCGAGCCACGTGTTAAAGTAGAGGGGTAGTTTCTCATTTCTTAAACTAGATGAGAGTGTGACGGGGTCACTTAGTAACTACAGGAGAGGTATGTCTAGTTGACCCTAAAATGTTGGCTGCACATGTTTCATTGAGCCGGAAAATATACGGCTTTTGATACATGGATGTTAGTGTGCGGGTGGGTGTCTTTGAACTTTTAATTTAAATTGTTGAAGTGGATTTTGGCACGATTATCCTTAATGGTAATGGAAAATGATCTATGTAATGTGTTTTTCATATGTTATAGAGCCTCTGTATGTTCATCGCCAAAGTTGTTATCTTTTTGGGAGAGAAAGGAGGGTTGCAGACATTCCTACGGATCACCCATCTTGCAGCAAGCAACATGCTGTCCTCCAGTACAGGTACAATATAATCTCAAGTACTAGTTCAGCTTCAATATTTGATAGTTTATTTGATTTTAGTATTTTGGTTATTTGCTTTATAGGCAAGTTGAGAAAGACAACCCTGATGGTACTTCATCGAAGCAAGTAAGGTGCGACTATAGCTGTCAGTTGTTTGGTAAAAGTTTGTGACATATATCTTTATATATACCTTACTTACAATTGTCTGTTTAATGGGTCTATAGGCCATACGTAATGGATCTTGGAAGCACTAATGGTACTTTCATTAATGTGAGTCGTGATTTGCATTTCTAGTCTCTTCCTGTATAGATTATGTAGATGCTATGATTGGTTTCCCTATGGTTTGATGACATTCACTTGCGTGCAGGAAAATCGGATTGAGCCCCAGAGATACTATGAGCTATTAGAAAAGGATACACTTAAGTTTGGTAATAGTAGGTAAGTTGCTTTCATTAAATGTAACAATTTGCTTGAATCTACAGTATCTTTTTTATCTTATGAAAATTGCGATAGTTTGAATAAGACTATTCCATGAGCTATACTTATAGTTTTTTTGTTCCTTCTTTCCCCCTCCCCCCCCCCCCCCCCTTATCTTTGCGGTTTTAATGTAGAATCCCTGTTTTTGCTTGCTTCATCTCATATCTACAATTCCTATCAAGATCATCTACTCCAATTGCTAATTTTATCGTACATGCAATTTCTTGCACAACTTAACATGATCTTTGAGTTGATTATAGCAGTTTGAATTAGCTTTTGTTTTCTGTTATTCTTTCATTTACACTCGCTTTGCCTTTAGGAGCTTGCGCTTGTTAGTTCTGAATTATCTGTATCTTAAAGGTGATTTTAAGGGGATTTTTTTAGATACTCCCTTGGGACATTTTGCATTAATACTTTGACTGGAAAATTTGCAGCCGGGAGTATGTGCTGCTTCACGAGAATTCAGCATGATGAGTCTCTAAAATGGTCGACAGAGGTGTCATTTGCATTGATTGGCTTTGACGTCGGAAGCTTTATCAGAAGATCAAATATTTGCTGTACCAAGTTACTAGCAGGATAGCCGTTGTAAGTGCTTAGCCGAAATCGTGTAATGTGGTAGAGATTTGGGCATTGCTTGCAAAGTTTTTCACTGCTAATGAAAATTTTGGTTTATGCATCAGTGATTTATCCTCCAGTTTGTTTATAAGCTCTTTGTCCCCTATATATGGGATATGTAATTGTTCATTAGGTCTTAACTTGTGAATGTGCTCACACATTTCTTCTAATTATTGAATGTTTCTCTTTGTCTTCTTCCACTTCTTTGTTATAGCAATTGAATCTAATGAATTCGGGTAGTCGATTAAGTTTATCCATCATGAAAATGGCATATTTTAGTCTCTTTTTCTTCTGCTATCCTACTACAAACTATTCAAATACATGAAATTCCAAAATTCCAACAATAGATAACAGAGTTGTTAGGACCATCAACTTCCAATAAACAGTTTGTAGTAGAACATCTCTGAATTTCATTAAATTTTTCCATTTGTTTTTCTAGGATATACCTTCAACTTTTCAACTCCACATATATGTTATCTGTACACATTTAGTATGAAAAACAAAAGGAAGAATCCCCTTTGGTAAAAATTTGAAATGACATATTAAAGGTTAAAAGAAACACTGTTTCTTCTCATTTTTCTACCTTCTTTTTTCACCCTTGATTTTTATTAGGCAAAGAAAGGGATCTTGAGTGAGGATGAGATCACTATTTACAACAACAACAAATCCTGTGAAATTACAGTAGTGACGTCTGGGGAGGGTAGTGCGTACACAGACCTTACCCTACCCTAGGAAGATAAAGAGGTTGTTTTCGATGGGCCCTTGGCTAGAGATTACTATTTACAAATAACATAATGATATTTGTAAAGGTAGAGGTGAAAGATAAGTCCTATAAAACATCTATAAAACCGGCAATGCTATATGATACTGAATGATATTGGGGACGGTCGAGGTGAAAGGTAAATTCTATAGAGCTAGTGTCCGTCAGAATTTCTAGAAATCAATAATGGGCTCACCAATGGTGACATTTCTTTGGAGAGTCCAAGGCAAATTAAATAGCTTGGCCATAATGAATTTGAAGATCTTATTCACATTGATATTATGTGTTGCACTTGAGAAGAAGAGAGTTGCTTTCATTGCCTTTGCATATGCCCTTGCCTGCAAATTAACGCAATACAAGTTTCTTAATAAACATTCCAAAATTTAGATTACCATAAACTTCATTCATAAATAGTTATTACATGCTAAACAACACTTGTAATCAAGGGCGGAGCCAAAAATTATTTTAGGTTATAGCTTCAAATGTCAGAAGGGGAGCCTTGGAGAAACAGTAAAGTTGTCTCCGTATGATTTATAGGTCATGAGTTTGAGCCGTAAAAGCAGCCATTAATACTTACATTAGGGTAGGATGTCTACATCACACCTTTCGGGTGCTGCCCTTCCTCGGATCTTGCGTACTAAGAAGCTTTGTGCATCGGGCTACTTTGCCCCGGTTCAAATGTTAAGTGTGAAGTTCCAATATTTTTTTGAATCCCCTAATGTAAATGCTTGACAATGTTAGAATAATTAATACTTTCTCCGGTTCATATTAAGTGACTTGTTGGACTCTATATTTTGGTCCATAATAAATGTCTTTTTATATAATCAAGAAAGGATTAACTCTGTTTTTCTAGAATTTGCCCTTATTTATATAACCCAATGTGTGAAGGTAACAATATGCAAATTTTAATTAAGGGTAGTCAAAATACTTTTATTTCTTTAGGAGTTAGTATTTCTTAAGTAGTGTGTCAAAGGCTAAAAAGTCACTTTTTGTGAACCGAAAGAAGTACTAATAAGCTTTTTTTTTTGGGTTTTCCACCTGGTGTCTGGTACCCATATTGGGGTCCGATTAAATCCAGATTCGCTCCGGGATATCCCACATTAGGCTATATCCATGGACTCGAACCCGAGACCTCTGGTTAAGGATGGAACGGTACTTACCACTCTACTACCACCCTTGTCGGTGCAGTACTAATAAGTAACTATAACTTAAATCCTATACAAAGGAGAAGTTTTATTTCTCCTATTAGTGTTGAATAGTAAAGTGATATAATAATTGCTTTGTTAATAAATGCAAGTGTTATCCTAATCTTTTTCAGTTTGTGCTTATCTATCACGCCAATGTGGAAAGGTAGGAAAAGAAAAATATTTGACGTTTGTCTTTTCATTTCTAGACTTTACTCACTTGTTTTAGTTTGGTCATTCTTTACTTTTCTATGTTGACGTTTAAAGACCAACTTCCTATCCTTAACAGAAAAAGAGAAAGAGACAGAAAGATAGAGAGGGACAGAAAGAGTAAATGAAGACATTATTACACCCTCGGTCATATTGACAGTCGTGGTTATTAAACATAATTATCTCAAAAATTATTTTAGTAATTGGTAAAGTTACTGTCATGTAACCAGAACGTTACGGGTTCAAGCCGTAAAAACAACATCTTACAGAAATGCAGGGTAAGGTTGCATACAATAGACCCTTGTGGTCCGGCCCTTCCCCGGACCCCGCACATAGCGGGAGCTTAGTGCACCAGGCTACCTTTTTTTAAGAAGTTCAAGACAAAACGGATTTTTTTTTAACCCTTAGTAATAATTGTTCTTGAAGATGGAGATAACACATAAATAGAATAAATATTTAATAAGGGAGATTATATCTTATGACATAAATAACGGTAGAATAGTCCAATCCCTTTCCTAATTAATATTCCTTAAGGGACGTGTAAAAGAGAAATACGACACATAATATAAGACAGAGGGAGTATCTATTTAATTTTTCATTCGGTATTTGGTAGTTGTATTAGGACATCGACTTATTCGAATTCGCATCACGTAAAGCTTATTAAAGAAGAAAACACTCTCTTCCAAAAAAAATTACGTGACTCATAACTCAAACCCGGGAGCTTTAATTAAGTGTAAAGAGATCCTATCCTTCCCACCACAATTCTTAAGAAGTATCTGGCGTTCACGAAGGATCTGGGAATAGAGGTGATTTCTAGTATTGAACCCATTATATTTCTAAAATTATAGGTTCAGATCTACTCGTTATAACAATTTTAGTAAATTTTTGCACATAAATTTATGTTCCACGTCAAAAGTTATGAGTTCAATTGAATATATCGGTGTTATGCTACATCCACCCCTCGGAAGGACTGCACCCCAAAGGAGAGTAATGTAGGCAGCCTACCCTGATACAAGCATCAATGGCTGATTCAATGGCTCGAACCCCTGACTTATAAGTCACATGGGGACAACTTAACCGTTGTTCCAAGATTCCCTTCCCCACCACAATTCTTAATAATTTCTTTTTTTTTATTTGGTATAGTAAAGAAAAGAACATTAAATGAACTTGTTCTTTGATAGTTTCACACGTCAAAGGACTTTTTCTTTCTCCCTTTTAACTTTTTTTTCTTGGTTTTGATTGATCACACGATGAGTATGACTCTGTCACCCCCAAATAATGCACGATTTTCAGGAAATAAAGTTTAAAGTGGTAAAAGAGTTGCCCATTTAAAACCAGTTTCTCAATTTAGAGCACACAATTTTTCCAACTCACACAATAAAAATAGCAAGATGAGAAAGAAAGGTTTTTATCGCGACGAACCAATGAATACATGACACATGTCTTTATATGTATTTTTATCATTAAATTATAGTTATTTATGATTTAACCATAATAAATTAATAAGTATAGCTACCTGCAACCTGCACCTTTTATCTCACTTTGGTTAAAAAAGAGTGCAATATATTAGCCATTTTAAAGAACCAAGAATCATTATTTTTTTTGTCTTTTCCAATTCAACTCTTACAACTTATTTATGGGTCATTTATTTGAGAATAAATTATACTGAAATTATAAAGTAAAAATTTTAATACGAGATTAGAATTATTATAAGAGGATATCCCATAATGTTATTGAATGATGATCTTAGTGAGTGCGTTAAAACCTTAAAACGACATAAAAGGATTGAAGTCCAATATATTAGTCATTTTAAAGAACAAAAAATCATAATTTTTTTTTGTATGAACTCTCAAAAGTTCCTGCAGTAGTCGTGTCAGATCTTTCAAAAATACATTATTTTTTGAAGGATCATACACGCATCCCATGATATTTTTAGAAAGTTCGAACAAACATACGATCAGCCCCAAAAATTAAAAAATAAATAAATAAGAAATGACTTTACTAAGTGCAACATTTATGGAAGTGGTACCTGAGTGACAACAGACCATTGAATATCTAGTGGAAGCTGGACAAAATCATCAAACTTGGTCCCAATTAGTATTGGAATAGCAGTCTGCAATTGCCCAACACAAACAAAAAGAAAGGATTAGATATTTAACAAATTGAACCTCAACTATTTAAAACTTTCGAAGTGAGCCTTGGAGCAACGGTAAAGTTATTTTGGTGTGATTTATAGGTTACGGACTTGAGCCGTAGAAGTAGCCACTAAATACTTGCATTAAGGTAGCCTGTCTACGGAGGGTAGCCTTGGCGCAACCGGTAAAGTTGCTGCCATGTGACCAGGAGCTCACGAGTTCGAGCCGTGGAAACAGCCTCATGCAGAAATGTAGGGTAAGGCGCCGTACAATAGACCCTTGTGGTCCGGCCCTTCCCCAGACCCTACGCATAGCGAGAGCTTAGTATATCGCGCTGACCTTTTTTTATATTTAAAGATAGGGTGTTTACATCACACCCGTGGGAGTGCAGCCCTTTCACGAACCCTGCATAAACACCGGATATTTTATGCAATGAGGCTTTGAAGTAGTTCTGTAATTATTGCCATTAAATTTTCTACTTTTTCCTCTAAAAGAATGAAAGTAGTTACAACCACTGCTCTTATTCTTTCAGGCCATTCTAGCCTTTTTTTAATCTGTCATTGAAGTCTCAACTACTGTATTTATATTCTTGTTACTATTTCATTGTTTGGTGAAAGAAACTGCTACTGCCTTTTTTTTTTTTTTTTTTTTTGCGATGGTGGTGTCCGGACTAATTTGTGTATATCTCAATTATTTTACTCGAATACCTATTATTTCCTCATATTTTCCTATTTTTTTTTCTTATAACAATGGTTTTCGGCTAGCTAGCACATACCTCAATATTCCACCGGATACCTGTTACCTTTCACCAGCACAATTATCATATCCTAATTTTTATTGCTTTTTTACGACGATGGTGTCCGAACTTAATTTGCGCGCATCTCAACTATTTTACTCGGGTACCTGCTATCTCCCACTAATACAGTTACTAGATTCCATTTTCCTAATTTTTTTTCTAGAGTAGTGTCCGGCCAGCTTGCGCACTCCTCGACTATTTCACCGGATACCTGCTACCTTCTTTATTCCTCGACTATTTCACCGGGTACCTACTACCTCCCAGGCTCCCACTAGTACAATTATCAAGTCTCAATTTTCCTAGTTTTTTTAACTCCTGACCAGCTTACGCACATCTCGTCGGCTATTTCACCGGATACCTGCTACCTTCTTATTCCTCGACTATTTCACCGGGTACCTACTACCTCCCAGGCTCCCACTAGTACAATTATCAAGTCCCAATTTTCCTAGTTTTTCAACTCCTGACCAGCTTACGCACATCTCGTCGACTATTTCACCAATTACCTGCTAGATCCCACCAGTATAATTATCAGTCCCAATTTTCCTAGTTTTTTTTTAACTCCTGACCAGCTTACGCACACGTCGAGTATTTCATTAGGTACCTGCTACCTCCCACCAACAATAGTATCAGGTCCCATTTTTTCTAGCTTTATTCATCACTAAGAAAAGAGAATAAATTCATGACCTAAAAAGTCTTTCTTCTATTCAATAAAACAACAGTAATGTGAAATAGAAGCAAAGTTTCGCACCTGATTCCACTTTCTTGCTTCACTGTACCAATCTATTACACTGCAATTACAAAAAAGGAAAAAAGTTTTTATTTTTTTATTTAATTAAGGAAAAAGTGTGAAAACCGTGTTATTCCCTGCTTTTTAAAAGATTATTATGGGAAATAATTGAGAAAAGAATGATTAAAAAAAAAAACATACTTGTTTAAAGTACTTCTACTAGTGAGATCAAACATGAAGAGAATTGCAACTGAATTTTTACAAGCAATTGGAATTTGATCATATGAACTATGGTCACCTGTATTAAAAAAAAAAATCAATTAAATCATAATAATTACCTACTCAAAATTGGCCTACAGGAAAATATATAAAAAGGAATTAGAAAGAAATTAATGGAAATATACCTCCAACATCCCATATTCTAAAAGCAATTCTTGCACCTCGTACAATTAATGTTTTATCCATTAAATTTAATCCCTTCATCTCCAAACACATGTTTTCTTGTTCATCTCCCACATACTTTATCTAAAATAATTTTTTCCAAAATAAAAAAAAAATGAAGAAAAAGAAAAAGAAAATCATTAGTTTCCATGTATATCAAGAATAAAACAAGTTATAAAAGAACTATATAAGGATATGGTGGAATGTAAGAGATCACTCTATTCTTAACCAGCGGTTTCAGGTTCGAGTCCCCTTAAACATCAGTAAAAAGGGGTCGCAGCAACCAAGTCAACGAGATTGTTTACAAAAAACACATGTCTCTATAAAGTAGTAAGACCATATAGGCAGTAGAGGCGGACCCAGGATTTCAAGCTTATGGATTCGAAATTTTACGCTTGAAGTTACTGGATTCTATATTAATAATTTATACATATTCAATGGAATTTTTAAGACAAATACAGAGTTCGAACTAAAGCTGTTGGGTTCAGCCGAATCTGCTCCCAGCACTCTAGCTCCGCTCCTAATAGGCAGGAGCGGAGCTTGTCTTGAGATTGCGATCAAGCAAAACCAGTAGCTTTGGTTCAAACCTATATTTATCTTAAGAAATCCATTGTTCTAAAATTTTCACTAACTTAAAATGATTGGAATTTCGAACCCGTAAGCTTGAAGGATTAGATAAAACAAGTTATAGAAGAAGAGATTAATTCAATTAATTATAAAACTTACCACAAAACTTGTTTTCCCAATCTGGCAATCACCCAAAATACTAATCTTCAATGCAACTAAATCTGAATCACTATCATATCCACTAATTAATGTTTCATCTGATGATTCCACAGCTAATAATTCCTCAGAAAATTTTGTAGACAATCTTCTGTACGTTACTGAATTTCCAGTTGAACAAACCATAATTCTTTCCCAAATGAACCTTAAAAACTTTCTAAATATAGAAACTTTTTCAACTATTTTCCACCTTATAGTATTAACTTGAACAACTTTCCGGCAAAGCTGATGGTGATTCATCTTTAACCAGACGTCTCGAGTGGAGCATGAAAAAAAGGAGAAATTCTTGATACGGACCGCTTCTCTTAAATGGGAATGGACGGGAGTAGGGGACGGTCCTACGTGCAACACAGGCAACAACAACACCGGCTCTATGAAGTCAGAATCGATCTTTCTGTTGACGTTTCCAAGTCATGATCATGATAACAACACGAATCTAAATTAATCGGGTCAGTCATTTTTCTAGTGAATTTTTCATGAATATTTTGAGGAGGAAGAAGAAGTGTATACGAGAGCTTTGGTTTTCAAGATTCTCGTGCTTAATTTTGGCCTTTTTTCTGGGGTGGAGGGGGCGGGGGGCGGGGGGGGGGGGGGTTTGGTCGTTTTGAAGAACGTTTACGGACCAAACCAAAGTTTGGAAGGTGCGTTCGTTGTTTTGAGATTCGTGTGTTAGACAGTTGACCGGTGGTATATATATTTATTAAAATGACGAAAAAGTCCTTACGATCTTTTGGTTTATAGCAAAATACATAATTTATCCATCAACCTTGCACAGAAATCTCTGTTACACACCTCTGTTTCACGGAAAATCTTTTACACACTCAACCTTTTAAATTGAAACAGATGGAGTACAATTTATATGGATAGAGTTCGAGATTTGACAATATTGATCAGGTAGCAGAGACGAATTGATCCATTTTAATGTATTCTTGCATAGTTTTGGTCCTCTAAGTTTACAAAAACTAAGCACTTTTAGCTTCCTCCAAATATTTAACAAGCTCTAATTGTTAGATTTCGAAAAATTGTGCAAAAAGAGATTTAACTCGATACACCAAAAAGCCCCGTTAAATCCTCGAACTCGAAACATAAAAAACTGCAGTGGACACCAGAAATAGATAAAACTGTAACAAAAATTGAAGTCGCACCAAAATCTATAAATAAACAAAAATAAATAACAAAAACTGAGCCTCAAAATGTGATTTTATATTAAATTTTCTGTTATAGTTTTTGTTAATTCTAATAATCAAAATTTGTTAAATATTTAACTAAGACTAAAGTGCCCACTTTTAATAAATTTAAAGGACTAAAACAACTCAAAAATATATTTAAAGGACCATTTTAAATGTACCTCCAAAAGACATTTTCTTCAACTAAGGGCACTATGGTAAATCCAATGAGTAATTGGATAAGATGCACAATAGATCTCTGATTGGGGAGTATATATAAAAGGCACAGGCATCTCGTGAGGAAGGTGTCTCCTAGATGGGAACACAATTTTTTGATTGGCGTACACAGCGTGAATCTAGATTAGTCGAGCCCAAAATGAATACTGAACACCGAATCTATCTATCATACTATATTAAAAATATACAACTTTTTAGCAAAATGTGATTACCTTTTTTGTTCTTTAAAAATAAATTATACATTGAACGAAATTGTAACTTAATTATTTTTTCTAATATTTAAGACTTTGAAAAGCTTGATCAATAACACGTGTAAACAAACAAAAATATTCCCATGCATAAATTATTTGGATATTTTATTTAGAAAAAAATAAATTAGGTAGAAGACGTGATCATGAAGAAAAATGCCACAAGTATGATTGTGAATAAATACAACTGAATTGTGTAATAATTAATTTAACAATCATGATTTTTGTTGGCCTTCATAGGCCCCTTAGGAGGATATTTTTCTTTTTATAGTCCAACGTTTTAATTAGGGGTGTTCAAAATCGAACCAAAATCGAAAATCGAACCGAAACAGAAACTTAATGGCTTATTGTTATCGGGTTAACAGTTTAACGGACGGGGAACAGATTGAACTTTTTTTATTAACGGCTTATCAGTTTGGGGGCGAATTATTCAATTTTCTTAACGGATAATCTGCTATATATAAAATTTATTTTTATCCATGTATATATTAAATAAGCAAAAACCCTTCTTCCTCCAGTACTCTATGAAAGTGAATTAGAATAAAAGAAAGCCAAATAAAAAGAGTCATCTAACTGTGATAAAAGACAGAATTTGCTGTCTGAAACAAGATAACAACACCAGTTACACCTCTACTTCATCAACTTTGCCGGGCTTTAAGGCATCCTAGAATTCAAGACGAACATTTGTTTTAACAACGGCCAATTGAAAATCTTTCACATGGACAAAGGCCAATGTGTATAAACATAAAGACAGATGATTTACCCATCACGATGTCTCTTCTGCTTCGTCCCTCTTAGTACGTCGGCCACCTATTTAAACATACAGAGACTAAATTTTATTTTATTTTGACTGAATTAGGCCGAAAAACCGCCCGATAACCGTCCGATAAGAGCTAAACCGATACCAATCCGCCCGATATCTTATCGGGTGGCTAGCGGATTAATACATTTAAAAGCCGATAACCGATAAGCCAAACCGTTAAGAGTAAATGACCGCCCAGTCCGCGCGATAAGCAGCCCTAGTCTTAATGATTTTAAAAGGGAAAAGTACAGAAATAACCAATTTAAATACAAACTTACTAACCTCTAGCCCAAAATTAGACACTTACCAAAAGTAGCCCAAAATTAGAGATACACGGAAGGAAGGATTCTTCTATCCGAGAATCACGCTAAAGATCTTCCTCCCTTCCCTTTTTTTTCAAGCGTATCAATTTAACAAATCACGATATTCTCTACCTCTGTAAATCACGGCATTCTCTCTCAAAAATTCTCAAAGGAGCTCCAAATTTCACTCAAAATCGATCAATTTCACTATATACCTTCGCAATTTCTGGGTAGATATAGCTTTTGCAATTTCTGTGTAGAAGGAACTACGAACTGCAATCAAAATCAATCAAGGAATTAGTGAGTTTTGACCTAATTTCAGCTACTTCAATGGCGAATTTACCAATTTTTATTCAGTTGGCCGATGGAATGTTGACAACAACTTTGTAGATTATAATGCAGATGCTGTAATAGTTACTCCAAATATAAGTTTTGAAGATTTTGTAGATGTGATTTCGAAACAACTTATGATAGATACTTCATTGAATGATATTGAAATCAAATACACTGTCCAAAACAGTTCTCCACCAATAGTGATACACAATAGTATTGGTGTATCTGTATATCTTGAGCTGAAAAAAAGCTCAGAATTTACAATGTATCCCCTTTGTATAACATCGAGTGAAAAAGATATGGACATGATCTGCTACAATTCCAATTCTGCTGTGATTTCCTCAGAATGTGCACAAAGATCAGTTGTAGAGGAGAGATACAATGGCGATACAATTAAGATAATCGAGTTTGGGGATGGAGAAGACTGGAATGATACAGAATCTGATGAAAATACAATAATAACTGACCCTAATCACATAGATGTAGAAAAAGGTCAAATTTATAAAGAGAAGGCAACGATAATCAAAGTCATGAGGCACTTGGCAGTAAAGGAAAAATTTCAGTTTAAGGTGCATAGATCAAGTGAAAGCAAGTATCAAAATATTTATTGTACAATTATGTATCTCAATGTATAGCGTAGTTGATGTTAGAAGCATAATTATGCAGAAAATAAGTTGTTGCTTGTAAGTATGTGGCTGTACACTTTTAAGTTGTGGTTGTCACCGTCTAGTACTGTATAGTCGTTGTATTATTCATCTAGTATTGTTGATGGCGGTGTGTATCACTATATATGATTGTATTTCATGTCGCTCTGTTTATTGATGGAAAAGTTTATAGTTTTGTCGTAGGTACTGCCTAGTATGCATCAACAACAACTGTGATTGGTATTTTAAGTCTTTGAGCCTGAAAAAAGCAAACGTTTTCAAGGTCAGAAATTTCAGCAAAGTGCACTCATGCCCCCTGAAAGACAGATCTTACGCACAACTTCAAGCTACTGCAAAACTCATCGACAGTCTTCTGATAGACAAGTATAAAGACCCAAACATAATATACACTCCTAATGACATAATTGGAGACATGAACAAGCCGTATGGTCTTCAGATGACATATATGCAATCATGGAGATCGAAAAAATATGCAGTTCAAGTACTGAGAGGGAACCCGAGCGAATCATATGAAAAGCTGCCAAGCTACATTTATATGCTGGTTCTTACAAATCCAATGTCGGTGGTAAGTTTGAAAAAAACAGAGGAAGACTTGTTCATGTATGCTTTCGTTGCACTATATCCGTCTATAAAAGGATGGCAGTATTGCAAACCGGTTGTTGTTGTAGATGGAACCTTTCTTAAATCGGCATATAGAGGAACATTATTGATAGCATCAACACAAGATCCGGCAGGTAATATCCTACCACTCGCATATGCCATAGTAGATTCAGAGAATAATGCTTCTTGGGAGTGGTTTTTTGCGAGATTCAAGGATGCATTTGGGGAAAGGGAGGGAATGTGCATAGTCTCGGACATGCATGAAGGCATTGAAAATGCAGCGGCAACATTGTATCCACAAGTACCTCATTCTGTCTGCATATGGCATCTATGGAATAATGTAAAAAAAAACTACAAAAAAAAAAACTATTTGCTGCTCAAAGACATATTCTTTGCTCTGGCCAAAACATACACAGTTGAGAAGTTTGATTACTACTTGGCAGAGGTAGAGAAAATTTATAAGAGGCTCAAAGATTACTTAATGAATGTTGGGTAAAAAAGATGGTCCAGACCACTGTCAACAGAACATTGACGATGACTTCAAACAATGCGGAGTCGATCGATGCAGCACTCAAGGCTGCTAGGGAACTCCCAGTACTGCCTTTGCTAGACTATATAAGGAAATTGATCAGACGATGGAATGTTAAAAACCTAAAGAATGCAGTAGAGTCATTCACTGATCTTGGAAAAAAATATGACACAATGCTGATGGACAATCTTGAATTGTCACATCAGATGAAGGTATGACTGGAATCTGTAGATACTTCCGCATAGAATATGTAATCATGCCGAATTAACGGATCTGTTATATCTTGAACCCTTTGTGTGATTCTGTTAAACTAGTGTCCACCTACACAAAGCAAAGGCTTTCAATTTAATGTAGCATTTATGCCTACCCCACTCCTGAAATATTGGTTGGTTTGACATGATATTAAACTATTATGAATCTTGTAGGCTCTCTAGTATATGCATTTTTAGGGCATCTGCTTTGTCACCACTAATTATAGTTGATAAATTTTGTAGGTGACCCCTTCGATGAGTTACTTATATTGAGTACTTGACAAGGGTAAGCAGAGAATGGTGTTCCTAAAAGATTGAACTTGAAGCTGTAGAAGGTTTCAGTTGGATGAGCTTCCATGTGCACATGCTTGGGCAATATTAAAACACAAATACATTGATCACATTGAGTATTGCTCGGTGTACTACACCACGAAGTACCTATTGAAGACCTATGAAATTCCAATTTATCCGGTTCCTGATGAAAGCACATGGGAAATTCCTGCAGAAGTTCTAAATGAAAAAGTCTTGCCACCAGACGTGACTAAAACAATAGGAATGCCAAGGAAGAGCAGGTGCAAGCCAAAATCTGAAAGGAAACGAAAAAGGTCGATTTCATGTGGACAGAGTGGAAAAGAAGGTCACAACAGGAAAACTTGTAGAAATAATCCAAAGAGAGGATGAAATATGTCAAGTTTAGAATTACTTGTTATTTTACTTTACTGAATATCATAGAGATTTAGAAGAATGCAATATATCAAGAACTATATCATTGTAGAATGTCATTTGAATTTTAGATATAAATAAATATTTGACGTATCATTTAAAATCGTATTGCAAGTTTATATTATACATCTGTTTGATTAAAAAGAAGTTGTATCAGCTATGTATCATATATGTATCGCTTGTGCATCACATTTGTATCATCTATGTATCGCTTGTGTACGCCTATGTATCTCTGTGTATAGGCTCTTGCTCATGCCTGTATTTGTGTAATAACAAAGCTAACTAATGGAAAACAGTCGTAGCAGCTAGAAAACTATGCAAATAGTTTTAGAAATTTGTAAATAAGAGTGGCTTCATCAATACATATTTTGAAAACTGTGTATCATATGTGTATCATATCTGTATTATGTATGTATCATGCGTGTATCTGCAAGAGACAATGTATCACAAACTACCGTATATTTTTCATATCTATAATTCACAACACAAAATCAAGGGAGAAAACACCAAAATAAACTAAACTGCAACAATCCAATATCGCACTGAAATACATTAAACCTTTATAACAGAGCAAACATCTCATTTACCATACAATTCTTAAAAGTATCATAAAATTCAAACACAAACAAATCTGATATGTCTTACAACAATGAAAACATAACAGAACACAATACAAAAACAAAATTATAGAGTTTATCCTACAACAATGACAAAAGTAACTACTTCTTCTGCTTCCGCGACTTATTCTGTCGACCAATAATCTCATCATCACTTTGCGCGTTCAGTTCTATCCTCTTTCTAGCATAATCCCACAAGAGAGCACCAAATTTACGCCGGTGTGCATAGGCATTGAATTTTTTAGGAGGCGTCTTGCCCTCAATGAAATACTCGGCAAATGATGCCGCAAATACACCGCAATCACTGAAAAAATAAAAAGAACAACAACTATCAAACTGCATAATCTAAAAACAAGACAGATTGTGTTGAAAGAAATTCATATGCTTCGACTTATTGAGGGAATCCTTCGACCAGTTTTACATCAAAGGGGGTAATCAAGTCTTTTGATTTGTAGACACCAGTGCGCCAATTGATATCTTTTTTGTTTAAATAAAAATGCGTGTGCACGAAAAAATGAGGCAGCAACACATAATACTTGGTCACGGTCTTATGAACTTTGGCTTGACGAGCAGCGCGCATAGAGCCATACACATAAATGCACCTATCCTTGAAGGACATCATATCCATTATCCAATGCCATTGTTCTGCAACATTAATTGGCATTAAGACATGCTCGACAGTGTGCCATGGAACATTGGCATCCAAGATAAACCCCTGAATATACTCTGCAATGACATTTTTCGGAGTGCACACATCACTGTCTCCATCCGTATCAATAAACGCCTGCCACAACTCATTAATTTTCTCGTCGAAGTACCAATCTGTGGTGGTGAATGTTACAGTTTTTTCATAATTCTCCTTCTTCCTCAGATAAAGAACAAAACATCAATGTGCTGAAACAAAACATAACAAATAACTAATCACTAAAGGCTGGTAAGCTTTAAGCACCTACGGTCTTTCAAACCAAAATCACAGAAAACAAAGGAAAATGAATGCTCACTGCTATCTCTTGTGCCAGGAAATAGCAATTAATAATCTGTTCTAACTTAAGAGGACTGAGTGTTCATGTGTACACTGGCTAAAATTTAAAAAAAATACTGCAAAAGTTAATTCTTACATACCGAGTCATCCAAGGGCTGACCATTATATGCCAAAGTATAAAACTATTTTTTGTCTTCAACATGAAATACACCAAGATCATAAGCAGGATTGAATTCAGTAACATATATACACAAAAGAGTACAGTGATTTGATATAAAATAATGCTATAAGTGACAATATATTAAAATATAAAACTGAAAAAAACTCAGAAGTTGGAAACATACTTCTTTCTGGACTTCCCTTATTTGACCCATGCAGCAAATACATTCAACAAAGAGCTATTAACGCCAGTTCCGATTTTGCTTTGAAAAGGATGCTTAATAGCATAAATTTGCTTTTTTCCTTTCGCTGCAACAACACCAGTACTGGAACCTGAATCAAACACAGTAATGAACGGAGACTGCACGGCCTTTGCAGGACATCTCTTTCTTTTTTCCATTTGCGGCGATACTTTAGGAAGTAATTCAGGATTGTACAGAACCATCTCCCATGCCGCCTCATTAATTTTTGCAGTCGCACAAACAGCACCAGTCCAAGATTCAGGAACCTTTTGTTTCTCAGATTCTTCCTCCGTCTCCCCTGCCGCCGCATCAACACTTGCAGTCGCACAAACAGCACCAGCCCGGGATTCAGGAACCTTTATTTCTCAGATTCTTCCTCCGTCTCCCCTGCCGCCGCATCTGCAATCTCACCAATAATGCCAGCATGTGCTACATCTGGTGTGAAAGATACTTTAGCAACAAACATGTCAACTTTCACACCAGAAGGTCCTTCCATAGCATTGACACCTAACTGATATGCTACACTAGTATCTCTTTGAGAATATGGAACATCTTTGCCTTCACTTCCACCGACCTATTTTTTTAAAAAAGAATCGAATTATCAAAAACAACAAAGAAAAGAAAAGGGTAAAGTGCATAATGCACAACTAAACACACCTGACAACCATCCATTTCAACATCTTCATTGCCACCAAACTCCATATTGCTCACAAAATCATTATTGTCTTGACGACCACTGGTGTCTTCCTCTGGATGTGCACCATATTTGACTTCGCTTGCACTAAGCTATTTTTAAAAAAAGGATATAGTAAGTTCACTAAAAAATAAAAAGAAATGCACCATGGAAAAGAAACACATACCTTGGATTTATCAACTCAAAGAGCTCCTTGAATTTATCAGAAACATAATCCATGAAGGAATTTAACTGCTTATGGAGCTACAAGATGAAACAAATAAGAAAGATAATAGACTTTGAATATACAATTTGAACAATACTTTCAAAAAAATATATAAAAAAGACCAATACATACTTGCTTCACATCAGCTTTCAACTTCTGCAACTCACGGTCATAATCAACAGGTTGGACACCTGGCGCCTTTTTTGGTGGGACAGGCTCCTTAATGTGTTTCGGGGGTGGCGTGACAAAATCATCGCTATCATCACTAGGAAGTTTTCCCCTGTTACGTGATGTCAAATATTTCTGATACTCATCGGTAACTTCAACAGGCAAAGTAAATCTCCTTAGCTCTTCAATTTTCGGAGAGATATTTTTAAACTACAAAGGTAACCAAAAGTGACTTAGTCCTAGATGTATCAAAGATGTATAAAAACTGTATGTTTGATGTATCATAGAGGTGGCAAAATGGTTCAAAGAAAACAGTTAACCACCCATATTATCCACTAAAAAATGGGTTGGATAATGAGCTTTTTAAAAACGGATCAAATATGGATAAGAACCATATTATCCATTTAGAAAATTGATAACCAATGAGTAACCAATGGGTCTAACTTTTACACTTGTATAGCCTCAAATTGGGGGTTCCTCAAGTTAGGGAGACTAAGAATTTTCCCATAAATGATCATATACAAGAAGTCATGGATAATATGAGTAACCCATATTATCCGCCGGTTAATCCGTTTTTTATCCGTATTAAATATGGATCGGGTCGGATAATTAATCCATTTTTTCATTACCCGTTTTCAACCCGAACCATATCCGACCCGACCCGCCCGTTTGCCACTCCTAATTACAGTATATTATAAATGTATATCCCATCAAGACATAAAAGATGGTACCTTATTCCCTGTGCTGTTGAAGAAACTAGTAGAGAAGTCCTCACGCGTTGGCCTGTCTGTCATTTCCCAATTCAATATGCGTAGTGTATGATCTCCAACGCGAACATCAAACTTTTGATCAACTACAGTGCAACATTCATAGAACCACACCTGTAGTGCAAGAGAAAATCTACCAATCCTATAAAACTCAGACTTTCCCCTCAACCTGTCCCTCACTGACTTCATTAAAGCTCGAAACGCAATCTTACCCCATGGAAACGACACATACTCACCACTCTCGACAAGATGGAAATCACGTTTATTTATAAATGTCTTCTGAGCCTGAGTGGACATTAGAAATATGTTTATGAAATAAATGATTGCAATCTTAACCGCGTCTTCATCAGACTGCCATTTCTTCTTCTCAAAACAATCAATAAGTGACTTCTTTGACACCACTTCAAAACCAAAAAAATAAGTATCCACCAACCTATTGGGTCCACTGAATTTACCCTCAACATGTTCATTACCACAACAGGTTAAACCACTTACAATACCAAATTCTCGAAGACCAAAACGTAAAACACATTCGTCATTCAATTTCACATAAAATTGATCACACTTATCTTGGACCAACTCCCTAAACATTAAAGAACGAATAAGTTGTGCATGGATAGCAACTCGAGGTAAATCAAGGAAATAGCCAAAACAGCTTTCCCTAAACATCCGAAGCTGGACATCAGTCAACTTTGACTGTAAAATCGATACAATGTCCACATTAGTATATGATGACCAATGAGTAACAGGAAACGGCTCACCAACTGGAATATAGAGCTTCCAAGGCTACAAATACATGACACGAATTAAAAACAAACAAATACAAACTAAATCCAAATTTTAAAAGAAGAGTCAACGATAGAAGAAAGTATAACTGAAATTGTATACACCTTACAAACTTTGTCAGGAATTTTAACTTTTTCTGCCTTCTGAACCTTTTTTTTTGGTTTGACACCCAAATTCACTTCGTCCTCCACGACACGTTTTCTCTTACCTTGATCAACATCCATTATAACCCTCTTGCTCTTCTTTTTCTCAAATTTTCCAACAATATCCTTTCGAGATTCTAACACATTAACACCGTCGGAACGATTTTGTCTTCGCGTATTTTGTTCATCAATCAA